CTATAAATTTTAGAAATCAACAAAGAACCAAAAAGTTCAAAAAAAAAAATCTAAGCAGAACAAAACCAAATAGATAAAAACAATCCAATTCAGATTTACTAGAGTATTGTTTTCAAATATGTTGTTTTGCCTAAATTTTGAACATTTGGACATTCCCAGGTCATAGAAAGTTACCAGTTTGATGAATCAATGAACTACTTTATAGTGCATTGTTATTCTATTAGCACAGACACAAGGTTATTCATCAACGTGTAATGTGTCAGGGATTCAACCTGAATTCAAAGTGAATTTAAAGTATTAAACCAGAAAAGCTAAAATGGAAAAATCAATACCATGTCATCTATGTTATCAGTTCTGCTATTCTGATGCAAAATTTGAAATTTACTTTGAATTCCTGACAATTCATCCTTCAGTGTATAACCCTGCCTTTAGCCTATAACCCAGCTGATATACTGGATGGTAAACTGCAGCTCAAAAAATAATTTGCCATCCACTTACGGACACGTGATGAATATCTTCCGTCATTCTAGCCTTTTACTTTAGAACATACATAAGGAACTGTACTCAATCCCATCAATCTGAGCCAGGGTGTTTAACTGAACCAGAACCAAGTGCCAGGTTCCCATGGAAATGATATATAATAGATAACGAGGTCCAGGCATTCCTTGGTTCAGAATAGGCAACTTTATTGGAACACACAGCAACGTTTCCACCTCTGGCCTTTTACGTCTGAAGGGGTTACTTACTAAAGTGAGCATTGTTGAGAATGCAAATTTAAAATTTAAGGTCAAAATAGCAGATTTGGAAAGATTCTCCAAGTCAGTTATGCTTTGAATTCAGCTATTGTTGTCTAGAATTTAAAATTCACTTTGAATTCCCAACAATTCTTACTTTAGCAATTAACAGGGTCATTAACTAAAATAAGAATTCAAAGTAACTTCAAAGGGAATTTCAAAGTCAAGGCCAGAATAGTCAAACACACAGATGTTTTTTAGAGAATTTTTCCAGTACAACTATTTCCACCATGAATTCACCTTGAATTATCACGTCAGTACATAACCCTGTTAGCCTTACAGTGTTTTTGGCTGGCGAAGATTGATGGGAGTTATACTGGACTGGTTAAATAACCCTGGCCTAGCGCATGCATGTAACATGTTCGCGCTGTCAGCACTGACACAGATCAGACACATCACAATCTTTAATGACAAATTAGGGTTTCATGTGACATTAATCTACATCTGTACCATCACCTACATAAAATCATAAAATATCCATGAAATGGTTTAGAACACTATATTACAATGAGAGCAGAAGGAAATAGAAAGACGCTGTAATAGCTTAATATTTTGTATAATAAAATTCTGCGTACATCATTCATGCAGCTTGCTCTTATAACTTAATCTTTTTGATTCACTCAATTACAAGCAAATTGACAAAACACATTTATACTAGCAAGCTTAAAACCCTCCTAATGGAGTGCCTAATGACTAATTGATCAGATCCCCTAGTGGCCCAGAGGTATGCTGCAATTAGTTTGGGTTTGGTGGAAAATAAGTGCATATAAAGTAAGTCTTCATAGGCTTGATTGATGATGTATAGACAGTGCATTTATCTTGAGACAGAGAGGATTTGAGGCATCATTTAGTGTCATTTAGGGCAGAATTTGTTCAAATACTGTACAGGAGCCCACTTAACCCTGTCTGCTGTACTGTAATGTGTAAGCTGATACTTTAGGGGGGATAGGAGTTATGACTGGGTACACAGATAGGGTCACATATATTCTGATTAAAACACACAAGGGGTCTGTTCACTAAAATTGCCCTAAGGTGAAATTGAAATTGAAATAATCTTTTTGGTTCAGGCTAAAATAATCGATCTGGGAAAAAAAGCAAAACAGGAATCCTAAGTGAGTTGTATTTCTCTAACTATGTTACTTTGGTCTGTTGTTGCAAGTTAATTCACATGTGATTACAACTCCTTATTTTGGGAATCAAACCCCAAGGGGCTGCATTGTTACAACAATTTAATTCAATCTATTTATATATTCAGAAACAAATACATGGTTTGTACTGAACAATTCCTGTTTCTGCATCTTTAAAAATACAATAAAAAGTATTTCTTATGAATTCATTAAGTTTTCCTCAAAATGTAAATCGCATTAGCATGTATTCCTCCTTTAAATATTACTTTTTAGATGTGCAGAATATATCATGATTTCATAATTCGTAGAATTTCAGCAGATTGCAAAGTTTAAATGTACTTCATCATTAGATAAAGCCCTGCATCGTATATGTTTTCTGTTGTATTGCTGTTTGTATAGTTAAAGATATATCATCTAAAATATTGTGGATCTTTTTTTATTCCAGGTATTGCAGATTATATCTCTCATCACGCTAAGCCAGCACATTTTGTATTTAGCTGAGCATGAAGTCTCTTAAATTCCAGTAAATCTACAATCTACTAAACTTGCTATACCTGCTTAAAATAAATACCGACAGACTGTTTACATATGTTTTTTCTATATAAAGCACATTATTGTGTTTCTATAAAATGAAAGTTCCCCTATTGAAAATATTGGTAATATGTCACCCCTCCCAACGCCAAACCCCAGTCCCCCATTTACTTAAGAGCCCCCTTACTTTCACTTAATAATTTGCATAAAGTGACCAAAAATAGTAGTGTATAGTTATTACATTGCTGGTCCCTGCAGAATAGGAATATATCAGAATTTAGAAAATGGTAAAATAATCTAGGATGGATTGAATGGATTGAAAATGTTCAGTTTATAAATTTGCATCCCAGTTTGTTTTTGTTTTTTTGTTTTTTTATCGTTATAACTAGTTCATATAATAATGTACCATGGAATAATAAATAACATAATAACATACTTAACGTATGTCATATAATACATTATTAGATGATATCAAGTTTTAGACGGGAAACAAGGTTTTAACTTGATAAGAAACTGGTCTAAACAATATACTAAAAGTACACGAAGAAACGGATTTCAAATACTGTGCTAGAAGCCTTAATTTAGCTGAGTATTTGTTAGGATTATACACTAAATACTATATACAAACCGATTGCAAAATGTGTCAATATATCTGTTTTAGGAAACTTATTCCACAATCTTCTAATCTTCTACACTCAAAACTTGTTAAATAGATACAATATATTAGGTTTAACCCAAAATGTATGTAATTCAAATAAATACAAATGGAACATTGTATTATATAAAACCATTACTTTAAATACTAATAAAATAATGCTAATAATAATAATAATAATATGCTTTAAAAAAAAAAATCTGAAATAATTGTTAAAAGTATAAAAGATATTAATGCCAAATGTCAAAGTTCAGAGAATACAAAAAAACCATTTAATTTAATGTGTACTTTATATGTTAGCTGCATGTGTTCCTGCGTTTCCTTGTAATTAATCATATGATATATATATTTTTTTAACTATCTAAACTATTATCAACAATAAAAAAAATCTAAACAACGATTAAAAAAACATCAACAATAAAAACAAAAACAATAATTATATTACAATATAACTGCAGTATATAAAAAAAAAAGGTGTATATATGTCCATAAGTTGTTGAGAACATCCACAGGTGTAGAACCGTATAGCGTTTATAATTGAGAAGCCCCTTACCTTGGTGTCACATCCCTTATGTATGTATCCTGAAATCCTAGTGGACATGAGTAAAAGACTATTATGAAGCTGGGATTCTATTCTGTGCCATTTTATACCGCTATACCCAATTAATATTGCATTAGGCTTATTTTAAATTTTCGAAATCCACATTATAATGTAATGGCATAAGGACATTTATTATTAAAGCACATCTGACTGGAAAAAAAAAACATTTGGGGTTGATTATACATACAGTGTAAGAACCCACATTACTGAGGCTACCTCTGAAGAGATCAGAATGTTAAAATAATGAGGACTTGGGGGTTTTTTTTGTGTGTGTGTTTTTTTTTTATATATATATATTTTTTTCTTCTCTGAATATTTTTTTTTCCTACTCAATGTGAGGTTTGATGTTTGACACGCACTGAAATGCTGTTGTGAAATATTCAGTAGATGCTTGTGCTGTGAGCATTAATTTTTAATCTTAAAGAAGCGCCTGGGATTCATGAATAAAAAGACGAGTTGAGAACACAGAATTACAAATGAACTTTTGGTATCTCTATTATCCGATGAAAAATTTGCACCTTCTATCTAGATGATCACAAAGCAAACCCCCTACTTAATCAACTGTCTAATTCTGCTCCTTGCTGTGAAGTCGATTTTTTCATATGCCAAAAAAAAAACCCTAAGCAAGTAACACCACAAGAGAGGCACAGAAAATGTCAAAATACAAAATGACAAAAATCTACCCAATGTAGAAAATTACTGAAATACCATGAAGAGGTTATAGAGAGAACAAGTGGTCAGGGAGGATGTCTATTCACTAAACAGCTACTTGCAAACTTCCAAATGTATGGTAAAACTGATGATTTTTTTAAAAAAAATTTAATATCAGCATTTTTTTAAACTTTGCCTTTTTAGCCTCCATTTTGCAAGCAGAATGTAAAATCTGCAGAAACCTCTGTATAATAAATTAACCCCAAGAGAAAAAGCATTCTATATGTGTAACAGCAATTTAAACGTATACATTTCAACATTTTTACACAATGCAAAAACAAAACTATTCAAATTCCTGCAATCCATACAAACACACAATTGAGACACCTGTTGAGATCGTGCACCCTATTTACCTGCTGTCTACCATAAGCCCTAAATATTATTACCGAAAATGAAAGCCCATTGTCACCTTTAACAGCACATGGGATTAGCTGCATTCTGTTAAAATAATAATAATAATAATAATGGACTTTTGTTTTTTTCTACAAAATCCCAAGTATTTATTAACAATGTACACGTGACAATGAAATAACAGTATTTAGAGTTCAAAAATAAAGTATTTATTGCAGATGTTTTTTTGGGGATAATACACTTTAACTTTAGGTTGTATTCAAAGAACAAAAATATATATATATATATATTCACACAAACACAAGAACTACACAAAATGCAATGACATATATTAAATGCATAGAGAAGGGATTTTTAAATACTGAGTTTAGAAATGCACAAAGGGACATGATTGTGTTGTGTATAATACAGACTTGAGATGCAGTATTTGACAGAAATTAAAAATGTGTCAATTATGGAAGAATTGAACTGTTGCATACTCTTGTTGTTGAAATACAACATTTAGATGTGTAGCCATTTATTAAGGTCACAGTGTACAGTTAGGCATTAAGTGCTGGGGCAAAAATACAGGCTGAAATGTTCAGCTCTTACAACAAAAAAATAAATGAAGAACATTTCTTTTTAGTCTGATTAAGTACATGTAATGTATGAACAGAGGAAACAATAATTGCAAACAGAAGCCTCAGCTGAAAATAGCTTTGCAATTCTCATATATTATTCATATATATATATTTTTTTTTTGTAGCTGCTAGGGGGGGGAAATAAGAGACAGAGGGAAAAAAAATATCATTAAAAAGAGCACCCACATTAACGTTTGTGAAAATTAGATCTTAATCCAAAAGAACTTACCGTTCGATTAAAAAAAAATAAAAAATCTGATGCAACTGCACAACGGTTCGACTATATAACTGAGCGTTGAGCACACACTGTAATTAATTACCTTAAGTAAAACGCATCAATTTTCATACAAGTATTTTCCTTTTTATCAAAGTGTTATGATGGGTGTCATTAATAGTTATTGCAATGTATTTTTTGTTTTTAAATAACCCAGCACAAGTTATTAAAATTTACAGTGGAGAAGAGGTGGTATTGAAGAAGTGAACGTAAGTGGGGATGCTAGTGAGGAGTACAGTATGTATTGATTGGAACATACATTTTAATATTAAAACATGTCCAGGAGTTATTTTCTTACATGGTGACTCCTTCACCTAGACTTCCCAGGGTGAAGGTGTAGAAGAAGAAAACAAAACAAGTTAGTAGATGGCTTCTTGTGTTCATCTAGTTGAGTCCTCTGAAGTTTTCAATAAAGATCCCTGCTCTTCGAATTAAATCTCTTAATAAGTTTTATGTTTGTTTTTTTTTTTTGTTGTTGTTTTTTTTTTAATTATTATTATTTAACAGCTTCCAAGTCAATGGACAGCAGAATATTTCATCCTTTTTTGTTTTTGTCTTTGATTACAAAACCAGACCCGAACCACATTCTTTTTAAGGTCCAGCTTTTCAGCAATGGCTGCGATTTTTTCTGAGGAAGGTCTTGGCTGGATGGAAAAGTAGGCTTCCAATGACCTCTTCTCTGGAGCAGCTATGGAAGTGCGTTTGCGTTTCCTCTCACTGCCATTGAAGAGCTCGGGTTTAGTGTTTTTCTCCCTGTAGGCAGCTTCAGCCTCTTCCAACCAGGCTTGAAGAACTGGTTTGAGGGCTATCATGTTGTTATGGGACAGGGTCAAAGACTCAAACCTGCAGATGGTGCTCTGGCTTAGAGATCCAACACCTGGGATCTTCAAGTTGGCCAAAGCTGCTCCAACATCAGCTTGGGTCACACCAAGTTTGATCCTTCTCTGCTTAAACCTCTCAGCAAATGCCTCCAGCTCCCTCGGATCTGACTCCACGTCGTTGATGCATGACATCCCATTGTGAGTGGACACAGAGTGTGGGTGGCCCATGCTCATGGCTTGGTGTAGGTGTCCCATGGCCCCCAGGTGATGAGGGTGGATTTGTGAGGACATCACTGTATGGTCAGATGCCCCCATGCCACTTACAGTCAAGGAGGGCGAGATGTGGTCCAGAAGATCTCCTTCCAAGCATTGGTGGACTGAGTGGTGAGGGTGCGATGTCAGGCTGGAGGGGTGGGAGATGGGCACTGTGGAAGAGGTAGAGGTACATGGGACACTGCTCATGTTATGGTAGGTAATGTCTGGCTTGAACGGGTGATTCTTTCCGTGTGATACAATGTCTACAGCCGCCAGAGCTTCTGCACGGGCTAGTAGACTTTCATCAAAGCCTCCAAATATATTGCCCTGGAGCTGCAAGGAAGAATGTGAACATTGGTGTCAGTGGGGAATACCGTCAGCTCAGGATTAAAAAACATTTTCAAGCACACAGATTCCTCCTCAAAGCTCAGGTCATAAAAATTAATATGAAGGCAGAAGCTCTGCTTGAATAGACATGTGGATCTGAAGACAGGAGAAGGGGGAGAGGTACTGAGGGAGAAGTGGGGGAGAGAGAGGCACAGGGGGAGAGAGAGAGAAAGGTTCAGAGATATGCAATTGTTCTGATGACATGAAAAAAACATTAAGCAAGTGTCTGTCAAAAAATACAGAAAAAAACATGCCTTAAAGCTGTAATTATGCTTGATCTACATACCTGAGGGGCTGGAAGGCAAACTCTCCGCATAGCCTCAGAGCTGGAGTGCAGGCTGGAGTATTTGGGTTCCTGGAGGATGGGGTGCATGGAGAAAGGCTGCTTACTGTTCATGGTCATCATCTTTGCACACCTGGCAGGTAGGCAGCCCTGAAATAGGTTCAGGGATGTCTCTGTGGCTTTCTTCTGTTAAAGTGAGCTATTTTCAATGGCAGTGCAGCTCACCAGCGCTTCTCTCTCTATCTCCCCACCTGCTCCTTCACTCATCTTACAACCAGCATGCCAAGAATAGGTCCTGCTTGTGTGCGCAGGCGTGATGCAAACAAGGAGTCTAAGCTGCCTGAGCAAGGCAAGCGCTCTGCAGCATCAGGGACCTGTCTCTTAACGTCTCATTGGTGCAGGGTGGGCTGCCAGGGGCAAATGTGGTACCCACACAGGTACCATGCCTAGGGAGACAACCTGACACCTTGCAGTGTTACATTGTAACACAGAGGACAAGGTGTGAAGTTTTATAAAACAGATGCACTTTTAATGTAAAGTACACACACGCACCACACACAGAGTATCTATACTGTGTGTGTGTGTGTGTGTGTGTGTAAGCACACTGTATGCATATATATGTAAAGTACATTTTATTAACGTTTACAGCTGAGGGATGATTATTATTTTAATGAAAAGAACATATTTATTGAAATCTCAAATATTGTAAGAGCCTTATTTACTCATCAAACAAATATCAGATGAACTTTTTATCTATGAATACATCAACTAAACAGTTAAACGTAAAAACTTGCCTATTGGAAATGTTGCTACATTTTTGTTAAAATGGAAACAAAAAACAAATGTCAAAATTGTAAGTGATGTTGCTATGTTTTTATTATGATTACTTTTGTGGCAGTGTGTTGCTTGTATCCTTGTTTTCTGACATTAAATAAAGAAGATTATTATTTTATTTTTTTTACAAAGTACAAACTTGGAAAATGAACCAAGAAAATGTATCTAATGATAAGGAAATATTTACAAATTCATTCATTTACATGATTAACCAGACTTACAGGGTTATTTACTAAAGTGAGAATTCAAAGTGGATTTCGGATTCAAGGCAAAAATAGCTGAACTGGAAACATTCTCCAAAAAGACAGTGTTTACATTAGGAAGCCTGCAGGGACAGGCAGCAGACCCCAGAACAAATACATTAAGTTGTAGTTGTTCTGGTGACTATAGTGTCCCTTTAATGTTTTTGTTTTTTCTTTCTAACAAAACATTTCCTTTGCTTTGGCCTCTATTTAATATTTTTGGATAAGTTGTTCAAATAATTTAAATATTTTTTTCAAAATAATAAAATATCAAAAATATTTAATCTATAAATATATGTATCAATATATTTATTAAAAAATCAAAATATAGGAATTTTTAAATATTTGTAATATATTAAATTAATACCCTTGTGTTCTCATATTCTGTTAAAATTCTGTTAGCTATCTTTTGATTTTTTTTATCCCAGGGTGTGATTCCATTTTAACCTAAAATGAGCTGTTGCACATTTATTAGTCATCACCAATCACACATTTATAAGCAGGTTGGTGCATGTTTCTGCAAAAGCTCTGGTTAAGACTAATGAAAATTCTCAAACTCTGTAAGGATCATAAAGTGATCAATTTTTGCTTCGTTATTCAAGAGGCATTAAAACATCACAGTTTTTACTGTTTGTAGCGTGTCTAGTGTATGCAATGTGTGTATATAGTGTATGCATGTTGTGTAGTGGATTAAGTGTGTGTGTATATTGTTTGCAGTGTGTGTGTGTAGTGAATGCACTGTGTTTGTATTTGTAGACTGAGATACATGTTTAAAAAAATATTAAACTGCTCCTCTCCCCCTCTTCCCTAATAATGCAGCCCGTATTGTGGGGGGAGAGGGTGAGAGGAGCAGTTTAATATTAAATTTAATATGTGTCCCCCATCTGTGGCCATGATGTGGCACACTACATTCAATGGAGGTCCAGTCCTACTTGCAGACTCTATGTCTGCTGCTGCTGGGTGCCCATGCTTCACTCATGAGCCCCGGCAGAGTGCGGCATTGTCATGGTAACCCGCAGCAACACTTTGACTGCCAGGCCTGCGAGTGGGAGAGGACCCAGTGTAGGATCAGACGGACAGCCTCCCAGGTGCACCCTCCCTCTGTTAAAGCATGCAAAGGTAAGGGGAATGAGATCTTTGATTGACATATACATATTTTTTGGCTATATGGGGCTTGGGCCTCTTACAGGTGTGCTATCGATACCCCCTGATGGCAGCCCTGCTTAAGGGTACCAAATAAGGCACTCATCAATATCTAAACCTAATGCATTACATTCATCCCAAATCATTTGGACTAACCACATATTTCTGTAGCACATTTATCTATTGAAAATCACCTATTACATATAATTACATTCTTTTTTTATGAGATACTGCTTTTTTTAATTGCTATTAATTTAGCAGATAACACCATAATCCAGTACAGACAAAACAAAGCCAGGGCAAACATTATAACGAGGAGTGAAAACATGGTTTCCTTCTCGCCTTCTCTATGCTGACTGCTCGGGGCGAAGGACAGAGTTATATAACAATGACTGACAGGGAGCTAACATGAAGGTGCCCAGTTACAGATAAAGAGGTATGGATATCTACCATTGATTTTATTTTTCACAACTTACAAATATATTTATTAAATATAGGAATAAGTAAACATAATATGAAAAACCATGGGATATGATGCAAGTTTGGTGAGAAATTTTATTTTTTAACGTTTCTGAGGTTTATCTACATCTTACCCATAATTTATAAAATACATTTGACTTATTAATTCTCTTTTAAACTACATATAACTGTCAAGTACAGATCTGGTCATAAAACATTTGACAAGCCTTGTCCGTGGTGCTGATTGTTTAAACCCTTAGCTAAGGCAAACTTTAAAGGTAATTCTCAGTTCTGTGTTCTGTATATTTCCCCTTTAAGAAAGCGAGCTCATGAGGTAGAATTAATAGTTAGTCCAGAAAACCAGTTGGACAACAAAACACAGATTTACATTTTTTATTTTGAATTGTTATAATTTTTATGTTAGCTGTTCATTAATTTCCAGTTAGTACGCTATATATCATGTGGTAAATAATTATCTGATATTAAACAGTAAATTAGTTTTTATATGCATATTGTTAAAGGATCACAATAGGGTCAGGAACACAAACATGTATTCCTGACCCTATAGTGTTAAAACCACCATCTAGCCCCCCTGGGCCCCTCATGCCTCCATAAATATAGCAAAATCTTACTGTATTCAAGCCAGAAGCAGTGGATCTGCATGCTGTTTGCCTAAAAAAAAAAATCCAAAAAACAAGCAGTCTGCTGACATCATCAGAAGTGGTGGCCTGATCCAATCACAATGCTTCCCCATAGATTTGGCTGAGGCTGACAAGGAGGCAGACCAGGGGCAGAGCCAGCATGATTGAAACACAGACCTGGCATCTCCTCATAAAGATGAATTGAATCAATTAATCTCTATGAGGAAAGTTCAGTGTCTGCATGCAGAGGGAGGAGACACTGAATGTTTGGATGCATTTTAGGCAGCCATGACCCAGGAAGGACCTCTAACAGCTATCTGAGGAGTGGCCAGTGAAGTTATCACTAGGCTGTAATGTAAACACTGCATTTTCTCTGAAAATTTTCTCAGTTTTTACAGCAAAAAGCCTGAAGGTCATGATTCTACTCACCAGAACAAATTCAATAAGCTGTAGTTGTTCTGGTGACTATAGTGTCCCTTTAATGGTCTCAAATGTAAATTATGCACATGCTAGATAGTAGGTGACAGTGGTTATGGTTAGGTTATATGTAAATACTGAGTTTTCCAGTAAAAGAAAAAGTATATAAAGAAGAAATCTTCAGTAGAGAGTCCATGAACTAATACATAACTACACAGTTTACATGCACTGAAATGGCAATAGCTCCACAATAACTCTTCTCTGGTTGTTTGGCTCTGTCCCACAACACTAGCTGTAGTTTTTAAGTTTAGTGTTTTCCATTAAAAGGGATTTAAAAGGGATAATTCATACCGCTAGATTGACAGAAACTAACTCTATCACCGTTTCTCAGCAAATGTCATCTCGGTCACATCAGCTAGTTTGCAGAGCATTATAGTCAGTTTTCAAAGTAACTTAACCCTAATGTCAGCCATGTCTAGGGACATTGTCCACTGAGTCCAGATTGCCTGGAAAGTTTGCGTATGCACCTCAGCACTACATACTAGCTCCTCAATAGAGCAATGTTCTTCCATTCACTGGAACCATAAGCTCAGAGGTGGTGGCACTGTTATTGTAGAAGATGTAATGTGTGTGTGTTCATGCAATGTAATATATAGTGATACCAGTTTGTGTAAGGGATGTAATGGGTGTGTATAGGGGATGCAGTGTGTGTTTGTGTGTGAAGAATGCATTATGTGTTTCTGGGGGTGTGTGTTTGTGTGTATAAGGGATGCATTGTGTGAATCTGTGTTTGTATGTGTAAGGGATGCAAGGTGTGTTTCTGTGTATGTAATGTAATGCAGTGTGTGTGTCTGTAAGGGGTGCATTGAGTGTGTGTAAGATATGGATTAAGAGAAGCAGTGTGTGTGTGTGTGTGTGTGTAAGGGATGCATTGTGTGTGTGTGTGTGTGTGTGTTTGCGAGGTATGCATTGTGTGTGTGTAATGGATGCAATGTGTGTTTCTTTGTGTGTAAGGGAAGAATTGTGTGTTTTTGTGTGAGTGTAGGATGCATTGGATTTTTCAGTGTGTGTGAGTAAGGATGCATTCTGTGCATGTGTGTTTCTGTGCATGTGTAAGGATGCATTGTGTATGTGTGTAGTGTGAAAGAGAGGGTTTGTGGGGTAGGATATGGGCTGAGAGGGGAGCAGCTCTTTTTATTATTATATTTATTTTGTTAATATAATTTTTTTGTATATTTTTTGTGTCTTTTACTCCCCTTTAGTGTATCTCTTACAAACCCCTTAATCCACTCTTTGTATGTCTCTTACATCCTCCCAACCCCTTTGCGTATCTTACTCCCTCAAGCCCCTTTGTGTCTTACTCTTCCAGGCTCCTTGGTTTGTCTCT